AATAATTACATATTTACTTGGTCATAAGCAAAATTTTTAGGACAAAAATACTGGTTTTCTTTTTCTCAGTATTTTTTTTTCTTAATAATTAAGAGAAATGTTTTAATTCATAATTCAAAGCAATTTGTCATTATTTAAAAAATGTATTTTTACCGTGTAGTCAATAATAACGTTCCGAAAATAATGTGGATTCAAAAATCAAAGTTTATAATTGCTTTTTTTACGAATTCATTTCCTATTCATCGCATCGTGATGGAATAACATTAACTGCCAAATAGCAAACATATTACAGTATTTTGATCATGCAGCAATTATTATTGCCACTAAATTGCGAGGAGACAAAGATCAGGCTTTGCATCAGGGTACCGACATTCTTGATATAAGGTCCAGGTGATTAAGAGCATGTTGTAAACAGGATTATGGTTACAAGCACTGACCAAACCATATGTGTTCGACCCAAATCAAAGGGAACAGGTCAGTTAGATCTCTTGCGTAAGCAGGTAGTAGTTAAAAGTGTAATCCGGCTTAAAGTTCGGTTGTTGTTTTCGGTGAAAAAGCCGGCTTGGTGTCGTGGGAACTTATCCGCAACGACCCAGGTGCTGAGGGGCACTCGACGTCGCGTTTTTGGCGTCGCCTCGCCCCTCCAATTTGTGCTGCTCCTCAGCTGTTCGACGCTTGTTAAGCCTTCGAATGAACGGTCCGTAATTGTTGGTTAAATGATGCAAGACTGCAAGACGGCCGAGATGAGCAACGCTATCGGATTTCGAGCAAGGAAGTTTTTAATGAAAGCATATTTTGTGTCAGAAGCTTAGCCGGGTAGTGAGCGTCTGATATATATTTTAATTATAACTTTTGTACAAGTTGAATTTTCTTGAACGTTACAGGTTTATGTAATAGGAAAAGACTTGCTTACTTTGAATGAAAACGATCTTTTGGGTATATCTCTGTTAAACAGAATTAGGAGCGTGGTTATAATTATAAAGAAATCAATATCACATATCCATTGATTGACTTAGAACGCTGGAAACACAAGAGGCATAACCAAACTTTGATAAGCAATAGACGAGTTCCGAGTTCTAATTGAGTATACCGCCATAGATCACAGCCAAAGTCGCCGTCAAGTCGAGCATTAGCCGCACGCGGCGGTCGCACTAAATCCTGACGCGTTCCGCCGTGGGACGAGTTAATGTGTTATTAAACGCTAAGGGGAGATGTGTTTTACATCGCTATTCAATAGAGGCCTTTGCTGTCATAATTGTAATTCTCACTATATACCCATTGCTGATTTACTAGAGTGATACGATGGCTTTTTGCTTAGTTACGGAGCAAAGGGTACCTTATGCAAGATTGGATGATGTGCTACAGTGTTGGATTTGAAATGACAGAAAACATAGAATTCTTCAGCAGCTGATTTTCTTGTGCGAATAGTAAAGTCGTAAATGAAAAGCTGATCGTTTGCTGATCTTTAAAATTCGTAAGCGATAAATGTCAGCAATCTGACTATTACATTCTGGACCACATTAATCAAAATATGTATTAAAGCCAATAAATTCTTATATCATCATCATGTTCACTGCTGGAAATAGGCCTTCTCTGGGGACCTCCAAACGCAACGAACTTGCGATTTTTGCGTTTTTATGAAATAAACATAAATGCATTGTTTTTAACTTTCACGGCCACTAACATTATAGTATTTACGGGATTGCTACCACGTACCCTGTTTTATGAGTGACTTTAATATTTCGGCACTGTTGCAAGCGCCATGATAACGGAGTAACTCCGTGAGCATGGCGCTTGCAACAGTGGAATATAAATATTTTTATGTCATCAAATCAGTGATGCTCTGCCAGAACCGAATAACTATTGTCTGTACCTACATATGTATTTCATTAAAAACGATCATAGTAAATGAGATCTAGAAATAAGAATAAAATATGTACCTACAAATGAAATAACAGTTGTGTAATAGTTGGAAGTTTCAGCTCATCATTGACATAATTTGGAATTGGTGTAGTATTTGCCACTCGTGATTTGTGTTTAAAGGCGAATTTGTCAATATTTATTTAGTGCCAGTAAATTTGGAAGTACCGAAGGACGAAATAATGTGTAAACAAACGCTGTAGACCTATTTAGTTAGTAAATGTCTACTGTAGACTCTTTATAGATCTAGCGAAGGCGTTGAATTTTATTTGAAATGTAGTTATATGAAAATCAAATTATTATAATTTATTCATGAACATCAGAAGCTTTTGATGTTTGGTGTCTTTAGTCGGGTGAGTGAAAATTAAGTCTCAAAATCCGTCACTGACCTTTACAAGATATGAATGAATAGAGAGACTAGGTAGTCTATTTGTTTGTTAAAAACTTATTTACTAAATAAACAGAAACATATTTTATTCAGATAATTCCAAAATGCCCTATTGAGTCGCGCTACGCCGTGAAATAAAATGTATATTGCATATCTTTGTGTACTAAATAAAGTTTTATTTAGAATCGATATCTTAAAAACTTAAAAAGTGTGAGTCAAATCGCGTCCGTTGTGACTATTACACGCCAAAAAGAACTGATAAAATGAACATGAAATTTGCTTAAAAAAGTCAGGCTTGTGACTTTTATATGATTATAATTGATATAAAATTTATAAGACCACTCGATTACAGTCAAAACGCTTTTAATAATACAATACACATTGGAATTGCGTTAGTTCAAGAATTCCATACATCACGGAAGGAACTCCCTGTCAAGACTGAGACATTAGTTACATATGGCGGTGGCAATAAATTTCCAATAACAACGTACTTATTGACTGGTGTTTAAATAGTTCCAAGTTGACGCAGATCTACTATGCGAAAGTGTCGAATGGACACGCCTGTTTAATATCGCATTATTTCTTTGGATATTAAAAAGACAATAATATGCGGTAAAATACGACCATAGTTGCATCGCAAACCATAATTATCTGTATTTAAAAAAGGCTACTGAGTGACTGATATATCAACGCAAAGCTCAAACCACTGAACGGATTGCGCTGAAATTTGGCACAAACATAGCTATAATGATGTCAAATGTCACTATGAAATGGAGGCGTGCGCTTAAAAAGGATTTTCCAAAAGTCACCGCCTAAAGGTGTAATCTCCCTATTCCATCCGTAGTAAAGGCCTGTGCCCCAGCAGTGGAGACGTGAATAGGCTGATGATGATGAAAAGGGTAAATGGGGTTTCAAAGTTTATGTGGGAAACCAATATTTTTACTAGTTACACCCATTTAATAATATACATTCGAAAGAAATTCGCTGCCTGTTCCTTTGTTACGCTGTCACGCCTAAACAGATTTGGTTTCATGAATTTGGTATTTAAATTCAAAGTAGCTTAGAAGGACATAGTTCAGTTTTCTCATGAAAAATAAAACTTGCAGGTGGATAAGATAATGGAACTTTGTTTCGGAAATCGATTTAACTACGTAGGCTTAGTCGTGGGTGTCTGCTACCACTTATGATACTATTTTTGCATTGGCTGGATTTACATTATTCATAAAATGACGTAGTTCAGAGATGTTGCCTTATCTTTTGATTAACTAAAAGTTGATCATGTTTATTGATGAAGTAGGTATCTATGATTGCCTTCAAGAAAGGAAGGCCAATGAATCATTTTTGCTTGGTACTATTCTACGGATTCTATAAATTCATTCCAAAGTGCGTGATTCACCTTATGATACACTTTACTCGGAAAACAGGGCAGCGTTATCAGTTTGTTGATAAAGGGTTCGTAATGCTTCGTTTATTTTTTTATTTTAGGTTAGTTTACAGCAAATCAGATAGCATTTGCGATTATTAAAAACTAGTGGGTCTCCACGACTTTGTCTGCGTGGAAATGTCGGTTTCCCATACAAACTTTGAACCGTTTTACCCTTTAAGGGGTGAGTTTTGGAAAGTCCTTCAGCTTAGCGCATGCCTACATCATACTAACTATATTTGTGCTAAATTTCAGCGCAATCCGTTGAGAAGTTTGAGCTGTGCTTTGATAGATAAGTCAGTAATGGTTGCCTTTTCGTCGTCGTTTTGTGTTGTACTAAAGCCATCTTTCTTTTGTATTGTACTATATATAAATTTGCTATCATAAATTGTTTGTATCATCGTGAAGTTTACGCCATTTTAGGTTTGTTTCGTACAAGTTTTTGAGGTTTTGCTTAAACACAAACGTACGTTGTATACAATTTATTGTACAAAAGCGTACAAGAAAGCTTTTTATACACCGTGAATTTTGAGTTACTCGAGAAACTTAAAAATCGTGTAAATAAACATAGTGCGAACAGTTATAAACAGTAAACCTACTACACCCCTTTACAAAAATATTATATAGTTTACAAAATATCGTAAAACGGCACTAATTTCTAAATAACTTACCTATTATGGAATTAATATCCGTTTAAAGTACGTAAATCCTAAAACTAGTTCCGTTTGAATCAATTTATTACAATTAAAGTTATTAATGTTTCATAATTATTGCAGAAATAGAGAATTAACGTGGAGATATTTTAGGAAAAAAAAACATTATTTATAATCTAATTCGTTGTCTGAATTAGCTAGTAAAGTTTCTTAGGTAACTCAAAATTCATAGTGTATAACTGTTCTCTGTTTTGTATAAATCCAAAGAAAAGAGTTTTATTTGTTCAAACGGTTACCCCACTTGGACGGCAATGGACCTATTATAATAAAATTTATGATTGCTGAGTGGCTAAGTAGTTTTTAAAAATTATAAATACTTAATTACCCTGTTTCAATTCGAAAACATAAATTTGAATAGCACTCTAGTTTCCAAAAAAATATTCAACATAATAGTGGGTCGCCTTTTTTAATTTTCTATATCTGCACTATTTTAAATGCATCAAACGAAGAGGAAGATAAAATCAACGAACCACCAAATTTGTCGGATTTACACCAATATATCTGGCAACACTCATACAACAGGTGATATACGATATCGCAGCACATTCGTACTCACCCATAACACAACGTTGAAACAGAATAGTGTGTACTTAATACAGTATATTTGGGACTCCAATTTTCCCACACCTGAGCCTTGCCCAGCCCCACGACCTGCTCCTGCCATCACTTTTATCACTCCACTTCAACAATACAGGTTAAAATTAATGAAAGGTTGTGTATTCGCGATGTCGATCCGTTTGTGACTGAATGTTTATCTCAAGATAAGCAGTAAGCTAGGTTATCGGTGTTTGTCCAGATAAAAATGTACGAAAAGATACGCGCTCATACTTATATATAGATTGCCACACTTGCTTTAGTTTAAATTGAAACCGTGGCTTGGTCACCAAAAATATGCTGCCATAGTTAAGAGAGATATCATTAATGCCTTTAAGAGAGGTAGGGCAAAGCGAATCTTGCGCTCTAGTTGGAGTGCCCTCAATGACCTATCATAGTATATAAACTAAAATTTCTCTTCCAAATTTTCCAAAGCCAAGTGATGCCATTTGTCCAGTCTGCAGCTGCAGCCTTTATAACTAAACAGTCTTACCCTAAAAAAACCTAAAATTTTACTCGTATGAGGTTTTGCTACTCCTTGACAATTGTCAGTTCTTGGCACATAAACCAGTGAGAATTTCTTATCCGAAAATATCAACATTAAAAGATTTTCCAAGTAGTGATGAATTAAATGCCTTTTGATAGATGCTCTCAAAGGTATGTCGATCATTGTGATAATTAACCGATACATACAGTATGAAATTTCAAGTATTTGTTGCATTCAATTACGTTAACAATCACAATTTACGCCCGAATATACCCATAAGCTTGAGAGATTCATAATTATCTAGTTCTTCCAGTGTCACTTCAAAACACGGTATAAGAATTATAGGTTAGTAGGTAATCAAGGAGTTTCCCGGATGCTTAATAAACACACCAATGAGACGCTTGGATGCAAATATCTCGAGAAACCGCTTGGGACTTTTAACTTTTGAAGATTTCTATTTACAGTCTTAAATAGAAATGAAGATGAAAATAAACAGTTAGTTGTGGAATGAGTTCCTTGTTGATGTTAGTTTCCCCAAAGGACTTCAGCATGGGTTTCTTGAAACTAAGACGCTAAATCTTTCAACTGGATCGGCAACGTGCGTATGTTGCAAACGTCTTTAGTTCAAAGTGATTGCTTCATATCAGACAAAACCATGTGCTTATATAATAAAGGTGTACAAATTTTGTTTGGCACAGCTTCTGTCATTGTTATCTTAGCAATAAACGGTCACGGTTTTTCTAAAACAACCAACATTAATGGTTGTTTATGATGCCTATTTCACATGTGTTTTGCTGCTTTACCCCGAAGGAATAAAGCGAAGCTATATGACTCGCAAAGTATTTTATTAGTAAGAAACAAACATAACATTCAGAATCCATTCCACTTGGCATCTGCCATGGTTTATTCGGTAAGCCCATCGGATATTTTGTTACTGTCCTCATTTTTTGCGGGTATCATTCCAATTCTTCTGGCTCGCATTAATTTTGTAAGGGTAGCCGACCACGCTTATAATATATCAAGTCCAACGATATGGGATTCGACCGAAACGTGTTCGAAATCCGATAAACGGATTCAAACTATATAGGATATGGATGCGGCCGGTATAAGCTGTAAACATAAATAAGGAAGATGTACGGCGTTTTAGAGAATCCCCACGCACGGCGCGCTTCTCGCAGTAAATCTAACACTTGCAGCGTTATAAATTTAAGTATTGGCTGCAAAGATACTGGAGGATATGTACTTGGAACTATAAATCTGGTCAGAACAGTTGGCGTCTATGCGATTTCCTATTTTTTTATTCTTTTATTATAAAACATTAGAGATCCTGTGTTGATCCCGATAAAAATGTATAACAAACTTTTCTGCTCATTTCTCTAAATATTTTCCCGTAACCGCCTTCACCTTCAAAAAGTAAGAAGGAGTTTTTCAAAAAAAAAAAGATGGATGAAATCGGTAGCCGTTCCCAAGCTATGGCGTGACCAAGAAAAATAGCGATTCATATAAATGTAATACAAAACTTTGAGTCAAAGAACTGATGTAAAAGAACAATGCGGCGTGGTGCAACAACAACTACTAGCTTGAGCACGCAAACTCAAATAATGCACTATTCACTTTTGCCCTTAACATCGTTGCCCCCTTGTATTAGATGTATCGAGCAACAAGAACGCGGTTAGGGAATTCCATTTCCTAAGGGGTTCTCATAGTGCACGGATATCATCCCTCGTGTAGATGGAGAATCTGTCTAGGTACGTCTCGTCGTACGATGATAAAAGTAGTTCTTATATAGAATATGTAGTAAATAAGCATAATGGTCCGCCTTATGCCTCTTCCACACCTGTGTCAATCGGCAAAAAAGCTTCGTTTATGACTCAGATGTGGGAAGTTATTAGCCGCTATCGTAACGAACTATCGAGCGTGACGTTAGACGGGGTTGCTTAACTGGCGGTTTTTTGACACACATCAAAGGGCTTTTGGGGAACGATAAATTTGTGTGTGCTTGTGAAGGAGCGTGAAACTATGCCTATAACACTGAAAATTTAAAAGCTTATTTTATCGCATTAATTAGTCAAAGCTTCATCTCGAAGGTGTGGTAGAGGAATTAACTTATAGACGCTCGTGACAGCGTACAATATCACTTGCGTATTGCAAACTCTGACTGCATCACCAACCTCTTAAAGCCCTGTAAAACTTACTGCAGGAACACAAATCTAAGTTGTTCCTTGTAAGGTAGAAACTAATTCCCTTGACGGAGGCTCATATTCAATCCAGAAGTAGGGTTGTTGTGGACTTCCTATTTTCATTTTAATGATGACAACTGTAACGTCCGTTACGTTACAGCCTCCTTGTTTGGGTAAACTCTTTGTTCATGTAACTAAATAATAATAAAATCAAAGTTGTTTAAATTATTATTACTACGCTCCCAGGGCCTACCCCTTCAGGGTAGGTCGCCACACAACCTACTGATTTGTCATTAAGATGAAAGAGTAGCATTGCATTTTCTCAGCCAACGAGAACAGTTAATCATCTCACTCAGGCAGATTTTAAGCACGAGCGGATTTGAGTTTCCAAGTTGGCTGTTATGGCAGAAATATGAGCAACACCAGATACCTGCGTTGTTGCTCGGGTTTTTGCGTAGCCGACATTTTTGAATACCCGGATATCGTATGTACCCTAGTATATCCTGGTACCCGAATCAATCTCCAACCTTTTTAGTAAAAAAATAATCAAACACTGTGACATAACTGAACCTAGCCTCAAATGTAACTGCATTTTTGTAAAAAACGCAACGTGTTTTTTGGAGTAATTTTAAATGTTTGTAGTGCAAATTTGGTATTATTATTTTTAAGGCGCTACTTAGTAATGATTTTCTGTGAGTTTCGATGATTAATTATATAATTCTTAGATCAAAGTGGGGCCGGGGTACACGGGTCTGACAATCAAATAGTACCCTGGAACTAAAATTTTCGAATATCCCGTGTATACTCGTTTCTGGGTAGAAAAATCTAATTAATGATCTGAACCCAAATCTCTACATAATCGGCTTATTGTGACTTCTCTAGAATAGGTAATATGCATGCAATTCAAATAAGCCTCATTTTATTTTTATACTAGCTGTGCCCGCGGTTTATTATATTCTCCCGCAGTAAAACGTAGCATATGTGTTAATCCAGAGTGTCAGCTAACTCCATACCAAATATTATTAAAATCGCTCCAGCCGTTTAGACGTGAAGAAGTAACAAACATACACACTCACAAACTTTCGTATTTATAATATTTGTGTGATTTAAACTCTGTTACTTTTAAGTTGTCCTTTCATTAATTTTTGTCAATAAAATTTATTTTCGGGCAAGTAATTAATGATATGTGCGAAAAGCTTGTGGGAAATTCTAATATTTGGAAAAGGGACGAAAGCGGTTGTGTCGTTAAAATATAACAAACGTGATGTTCACAGGATATGCTAATGTCAACGGAGTATAGTGCAAGTGCGTATAAGTTAAAGCCGCGTTCCACCTAGAAACCGAATGCAACTTTTCACTATGCCATTTTATATAAAAAAAAATGAATTAAACATAATGTCTATTTGATTGACGTAGGTTCCGACTTCCATACGCAGAAAAGGTATGGAACGCAAAATGTCAGTATCTTGTAAGGTCATTGATCTGGTTGTGGGTTTAGATGTATCGTGACGTCACATCCAAGCATTCGAAAATAACGCGCGTTGTAACTGCGCGTGCAAAGCGGCTATTTTTGTAATTTTTTTAGACAATATACTATATTTTCGGCATTAATTATTTTTACTGTGTAAAGGAGATGTAAACTACAAGATGATGAGATGTAAAAATCTTTAAAAAATTATGCATAGTCCCTATTGTCAAACCAAAGAAACAATACACTGTCGACCTGTAACAAATAATATGCGAATGAACAAAGATCGCATTCATTACGACCCAAACAAAAAAGAAATTGTGCGACCCCGAATAATGGCTCTGAAACATCTTAAAGGTAAACTAGAGGAACAAAGAATTTATTGGTGTCCAGGTACAAATAAAATCACGACGATCGTTCCATCCCCGGCGCAGGCCACAGCCGACCCTTTATGTAAAGTTACGATTTGCAAATTTACATCTACCTTTAGGGCCACTATATCACTTGGAGCGCAACCTTTGCCCTTTTCTTAATTCTTTTCGATCTCAATTTGATGTCTGTTTATTTGTTTTCTCGTAAACAATTTTGATTTTTAAGAAGTTGTTGTGCCTATTTTTTATTATTGTTAATAATATATAAATTATTATTAATTAATAATAATGTGCCAATTAATGGAACTATTGAATATCCAAATTATTCAATCCCAATGTGAGTGAAGAATCTAAGGAAGTGGCACCAATGATCGACATTTTTCTCTATGTAAAAATGGTACACTAGCCGTCTTATTCCAAAACATGGACTAAAGTTAGTGTGAAATCTATTTATTCTATTAAATCACCCATAAGTGATAATAAATCTCTTATGTGTGTTGCAATATAATGAAATATAGTCACATATTGTCCATAATAAAACTAAAAACAACATTCTATAAAATAAGGTTTTAAAAGTTCTACCTTTCAGCAAACAAAATTGAGAGCATCATTTTTAGTCCAGGTTTAACTTTAGTGCACGTTTTGTAATAAGGCAGCGAACGTTTGTAGCTCGTTGTTAGAATCAAATTT